TGCTTTGGGTTTTTGTTTTTTTTGAGATAAGGTCTCACTCACTATGTCACCCAGGTTGGCTTCAAACTCACAAGTAAATCCTCCTGCCTTAGTCTCCCAAGTTCCTGCTCCCAATTCTTCCCCAGCTCTGCCAACCTCCCTGCTCTTCCTGAATGCTGAAACATGTATCCCAGTGGTCCTCTGGCAATCACAGCCTCCACCTCTCTCTCAAGCCTTCCTTCTCAGGGAGTCCCCTCCCCACCCTGCCTTTCAAACTGCAAGCCCACCTGGGGATCCAGCCCTTCCCTGTCATTATTTTCTGCCACACTGTAGCATCTGTGTGGGCCACACTCCTGCTGTGGTTCCCTGGAAAGCAAGCTCCATGAAGATGAGGGGTTTTGTGAGCGTGGCACAGCATGGCATCCCTGAGTCTACAACTGTGTCTGCCTTGTGGATAATACTTGGTAAATATTGGTTAAATGAACAGCTCAATTCTATGAATTCAGAAATTAATGAGGTCAGCTCTTTGCCCTTTAGTCTGAGGAACAGAAGTATATATAGCCATCTTACATTGCAGTGGCTCCATACAATGAACAAGAAGAAAAAGTGCCACAAAGACACAATAGAGAAATTGACAGAGATGCTAAATGATTCCTTATTCCACAGATCCCTAACCAAGACCTATAAATACTAGTAAATAACAGCTAATAATCATGAACAACCACCACCACAAAAAAAAGGATTAAAAATGAATCTTAAAAAGCAATTGGAGCTGGGGAGATGATGGCTCAGTGGGTAAAATGCTTGTCAAGAAAGCCTGATAATCTGAGTTCAGATCTCCAGAACCCACATAAAAAGCTGGATGCAGTAGTGCCCATCTGTAATCCAGTGAGACAGGAGGTGGGGACAAAGAATTGCCAGGAAGTTGTAGGGCCAGCCAGCCTGGAATATGCAACACAGCACACAAATGAGAGATTCTGCCTCAAAAACAGGGGGAAGGTGAGTACTGATTCCCGAAAGTTGTCCTCTGGCCTCCACACAGATGCCATGGTACATATATGTGTTTGTACTCACACGTATACATACATACATACCATACACACACAAACACCATCAGCATCATATAAGGCAGCTAGGTCCTTTGACATATTAATTCTCATACTATTTCTGCAAAGAACCGAGTATCCTACACTGCCACTTTACTTTCTCCCGTTAAAAGCACAGAATTCGGTGTATAGCTTGGAAGATGGGAAACTAACTAGGCTAGGCGCCCCCCAGCAAACTTGTGGGTCTCTCTGACATGCTCCATGAGAGTACCCCTAAAACACCAAATATCCTGGGGATGCTGAGAAGATGCTGGATTTAGATGAACCTCAGAATGGGAGGAAGTCCGTGTCACCTGGAACATTCAGTTGTAGGCCAGATCTCACATGGGATAGGAGCTCCAACTGCTGGCAGTGGATTCCCGCCAACCTCTGGGTACTCAGCACTCCGGAGTCTAATTCAGCTCCTGCCTGGAACCCTCTTTCCTGCCAGATGGGATTAGGGTTTTGACCAGCTTACCTTTCAGACTGTTCTTTTGCCAGAGAACCTTAAGTGAATGACTATTCAACTGGGAAATGGCTTTGAAGATTATCATAGCATGTTCCCAAGTTGCTCTGTAAACTACTGAGTGAAGAGAGAGAGAAAAAATAGCCATGTATGGTAGCTCGTGACTATAATCCAGCACCCAGGGGGCTGAGACAGGAGGATTGTCACAAAATGGAAAAAATAATAATATATATATATATATGAGAGAGAGAGAGAGAGAGAGAGAGAGAGAGAGAGAGAGAGAGAGAGAGAGAGAGAGAACACTAGAGACAGGGAGGAAGGGGGAGAGAAAAAACACAAATGGACCCTGGTGGGCACATGGGTGGACAGGGCATATTCCTTATAGGTTTTCCTTTATACTCTGAAACCTTTTTTCCTTTTTCTTTCTTTGAGACAGGGTCTCATGTATCCCAGTTTTCCCTTAAACTCACCTATAGCCAAGGATGACCTTGAACTTCAGATCCACTGGCTTCTACCTCTTGAGTGCTAAGATTACAGGTGTACACCACCACACCTGGTTTGTGTAGTGCTGGTGCTCAAGCTCAGGGCTTCCTGTATGCTGGGTAAACACTGTACCAACTGAACTATAGCCACAGCATGTATTCTGGAATTTTCTACACTGTTACAAAACCTGTTAAGATTTGTTTATCTTAAACACTGTTACTCAAACTAAAGTTAACAACAATAATGGCCAAAAGACCAAACATCTTAATAAGGGAACAGCCCAAAATATACCTCCTATCATTGCCCCTGAAAGGGACTATTTTGCTGACCTACCACCTGCCACCCTGTGTCTTGCAGAAAACCAAGTGTAGCTAGAACAAGCACAGACTCCACACAGGGCAGAGTGGCCAACAACAAACACGGCTGCCCACTGCTTAGCAACACAGGACAACAGAGCAAAAAACAAAGACCAAAACTCCAATGGCCTTCTCAGTTGACTCAGGACAAGGTGGAAACGACTGACTCAATCTATTTTTGAAGAAGACATTAATAATACAGTGACAAGCTTAGGTGAAGAAAATAAAAAGGTTCCACTGAGCAGAGAAAGTAGAGCAGAACTACAGACAGACTCACAAAAACCAGCACATGGCAGGACCAGAAGTTACTTAGTGAGTGAGTGAATGAATGAATGAGCCTTCTCTGGGGTACATTACAGCAGTTTTCTAGAAACTGTCTTCTCAGTCCTCCTTCACTATGATTTCCCTTCTAACCTGCCCTTCTGGAGGCTCTCTTCTGCTCACACATCATTATTCACTCAGCCAGACAACAAACCCTGTATCTACATGACACAGCTAGATCCACAGCACTGTAAGTGGAACAGGTATCAGATACTAAACACCATCAGAGCAGGATGAGGGCTGGTCATGTGGTCAGTGGCAGCCCTGCAAAGATGCCTTAAAGGCTTATCCCTTTCAAGGAAAGCAGGAGGGAAAAGTACAGTGGGTACAGCACAAAACCCACCTCCTCCTCACCCCTACCTCCTCAAAAAAGTGGGACCTGCTGGATCTCACAGCCTACAAGCCTCATTTATGTGATATTACCTTAATAATAGGGGCCTGATTTTAAGTAAATATTAGTTTGAAACAACCTGCCCAGGCAGGCGTTATAGGAGGTGAAAGCTACAGACTACATGTAGTATAATTTGTTTTTAAAGCTTGATGATCTCCAAAGCACTCTCATTTTAAATGGTAAGCAAACAGTCAGAAACTGCCTCTTGGTGAGTGCTGAGATGTGACCTGAGACCAGGGTGGAAGGTTTCCCTTCAAGTCGCCTGCCTGCTGAAACGTGAAATTAGAAGCTAGAAGCTGTCTTTAAAGGAGAATGTCAGCAACAGACCACAGTGAACTGAGGGAACATGTCTGTGAATCACCAACACCATGCAGAAAGCCAATGACTTTCAAAGCTACAGTAAGCCACCTAAATATAGATGAGAAAGAACACAAATGGCATAATGGTCTTACAGGGAAGCATTTTAAACTTTGTGGCAGCCACATTCGGCACATGTGGCTAAATATAAATATTCTATCACTACTGCCACCCAGCCAGCCTTCCTTAAGTAGCTTGCCTACTTCAGCTTGGACTTACGCAGACAAGTATTTTGATCTGAGTGTAGTTTCCAGAAGTCTGAATGCTAGAGGGGTGATCAGTGGCTCCAAAAGTGGACCAGGTATTATTGCTGTCTGTTCCTACCACTGCCCCAGCACCCAACACTGGTCTGGAACATCCAAAATTGTTTTAGAAATGGTAAGAAGTGAAAGGGAAATGGAAATGTCCTTGCAAAAAGGCTGATACTCCAAGTCACCTGTCTGGGTGGGTCATATCCTCTTTGGGGACAAAAAACAGAATGTCTTTCTGTAAACAGGATGAAAGTTTAATTTAGGTTACTAATATACAGAGCATTTCAGCCTTTTAGTGGTACTTAGGGTCAACTGTAGGTCATTTGTCACAGGAAACCTGGAATACTCATTATAAGCATTATATGCAGATGTGTCAGGTTACAGGCTTCTCTATGCCTGTTTAACACCCAAAAAGTGACTATTCCGAGTCTGAAAACTATCAGGCATAAGTCAGGCTCACAGATCAAATCCACTCAGTCCCTCAAGGAACTGGGTTTGTCTAAGGTACAACTCAAGATTACACACACTCATCCCTAGAGCTTACACAACAGGGAACAGAAACAAAAGTAGTTCAATGCCCCGGGGGCCCACCAAGTATGTAACTTCTATTCACGCTCGTCTCCGTTTCAGCTTTGCAGGCTGTCTTCCCACCATAGAAACACCAGAAAAACTGTGACACCCGGGCTCCCACAGGTCATCCCGGCGCCTCCTAGGGTTGGGCACACGGGTAAGTAGGTAGGGGCTCCGGAAACACTTGTAGAGTGAATGGAGGAATGAATGGGCGGCTCAGGGGCTCCGGAGGTGTTCAAGTCCCAGAGAGCCCGGCACCTGCAGCAGCCTTGCCAAGTTCCCTCCGCTGACCGCGCCCCGCCGCGCCTCGGCCTTGGGCTACTCTAAACCCGCCGGCCTGGCCCCGCACCCGCTGCAGGCGAGCGCCGCTCAGGCTTCCCCGCCGCCTTCGATAATTCAGTCCCGGTCCTGCCCGGCCGAAAAGCCCCCAAGTCCCCGCGCCCGGGACCGCGTCGCCCGCACCTTCTCGCCCTCATCCGGGTTCTTGTCCGGGTGGTACTTGAGTGCCAGCTTCCGATAGGCCTTCTTGATCTCCTCCGGGGACGCGCTGGGCTTCACCCCCAGGATGTCATAGTACTGGGTCTCCTTCACCATCTTGTCTCTGCGGGTCGGGGCGGGCGAGGCAAGTCAGCGCGTCCCCGACGCCCCCGGGGTCCCCCGGCCCGGCCCGGCCCGGCCCGGCCCCCGCCGCCCTCCTGCGCGACACAGTCTCCGCGCGGCCGCCGCCAGCCGCCCCGAGCTCTGTCCCGAGTTCGCCCCAGGCCGACCTCCGCGCCCGGAACCGCCGCACTCGAGCCGCCGGTGCCTCCGCCGCGGGCTTTTATTCGGCGCCGGCGGAAGGTTCCGCGAGACGTGACGCCAAAAAGGCCCAGAACCTTCGCGGAGGTTCCGCCGGCTCCCGTAGCTCGCGGTGTTCGCGGCCCGGCCCCCCGACGCCGGCCCCCGCCTCACCCGCCGTTATCCCGCGTCTTCTCCTCCGGCTGGCTGTCCGACTCTCCTGAGCTCCAGTTCTGACTGCCGCCCCGGGCCATGGTGGGGCGAGCCGGCTTCCCAGCGGAGGGCTGTGGGCGACTGTCGCGCCGCCCCAAGGCCGCGCCCTTGCCCTTGCGTGGGTCCACGGGGCTGGCGGGCTCTGGTATCCCCTGGCCTGGAGCAGGGCCTCGAGGGCACGAACCCGGGGAGGAGAACTTGGACTGCGAGGGCTGCGCTGATCCCGCGGGCCCCACCCGGCTTCTCCCCCGGGGTGTGGCTGCCTTCTGTTTGGTCACTGCAGGCCTGTGCTCTGGGGCCTGCCTCCGATTGTTGCATTTTTGAGGGGGTTGGAGAGTGTGGCGGTTTCCTGTGTTGGTGCTGGTGTCGAGAGGCTGCACTTGCCGGTTCCCACGTGGCATCTCGAAGGCAGATGACCCTTACTTAGCCTTTCCAGATGTCAACGGAGGTCCTTAGTTTGGACTCTGGCTTCTGGCTTCTCTACCCCAAGAGAAGTGACTTCATAAGTACCCCAAGAGGAGTGACGTCTCATAGCTGTGAGACGTGATGATGCTTGTCACATGTAAGCAGCGACATCTCCTGAGGGTGGTCAGTAACCCCTCTTTTCCAAGTGGTGAGAAACACACACACACACACACACACACAACACACACACACGTGGTCAGTGACCCCTCTTTTCCAAGCGGTGAGAAACACACACACACACACAAGTATTGTGTACATAAGGGGTGCTGAAGCCAAAAGAGCTCCAAGGCCTAGTAATAGACCTCGACTTCCCTAGGCTGTTCCAAGAGCCTAGGAGACCATACTTTTGCAAAAATGTGGGCGTGGAAAGCCAGCTGCAGCTATCAGAGTCCTGCAGGCCCCTTTGGCCTAGCCCACCTAGGCTTCTACCAGTGGTACATTTTGTCAGGGAGGAGCCATTGTTCTAGTTGTGGATCCTGTGCCTGAAGCTTCTCGTCCACGTGTGCAATAGGGATACAAATTATTTAATATCCAAGAGATTAAGCCACTTATTTCTATTCTTGGGAACATGATTTTCTTCCTCTGGATTTTGCCCTTATAGAGCAGTCACCTTTGGGCAGATTCAGAAATGGAGATCAGGAATTTGGGATTTCATACCCCTATCTTCTAACCTCATGAATCTCAGGTTCTGGGCTTGTTTTGCCACCAGCAGCACATGGGCATTGCGAAGTGCCCATGTTTCACAAGAGCATCCATAAGGATAAAAGGGAATGATAGCTATACAGAGTCCCAGCAGAGTCACTTTTGTAGTTGTTGAGACAAGGGTCTTGATATATAGCCCAGGCTGTCCTCAAACTCACAATCCTACCTCAGCCTAAAGTTGTAGACATGCTGTTACGCTTGGCTCACCTGAAAACTAAAACTCACCATGACCAGGCTCCCCCCAAGACAAGTTACTGCGGAACTTCCCAGTAGAATGCAGGCATCAGTGGTTTTAAGATTCCAAGTGCTTGTGGTTAAGAAGAGCACTAGTTGTTCTTGCAGAAGACCCAGGTTCGAAACCCAGCACCCACATGGTGGCTAATAATCATTCATAACTCAGGTTCCAGGGGATTGGTCGCCTTCTTCTGACCTCTGAGGGCATTGCACAACATGGGTGCACTAACACACATGCAGGCAATACACTCATACACATTTTTTTAAAAAAAGACTCCAAGTGGTCTAGTATTGCAACCAGAATTGAGAACCACTCACATCAGAGGACAGGACTGTGGACTCCAACAGCATGCTTTAATTTCTTGTTAATTCTGAGACAAGGTCTAGCCTCAAACTCATGTTCTTAATCTTCCAAATGCTGGGATTACAGGTGTGCACCATTATGCCCAGCTACCTGACACTAGTATTTCTGACTGTGTGACCTTGGGCAGGAGAATCAGAATTTACCTACCTCAACTATGTGACACACTTTGTGCAGAGGCTCAATACATGTTGATGGTCTTTTAATTTTCAATTTATTTTTATTTTATATGTATGAGTGTTATGCCTTCATGTGTGTAAGCATACCTGTGTTCTGCAGTGCCTGCAGAGGACAGAAGAGGGCATTGGATCCCCTGGAACTGGAGTTACAGATGGTTGTTAGTTGCCATGTGGTTGCTGGAATTCGAACCCAGGTCTTCTGCAAGAACAGCCAGTGCTCTTACCCAGTCCAGACTTTTAATTTTTTGATGATTTACTTTTATCTAACCTAAATTCGGATAAAAATTCTCTCCTTTACCAACCTCTAGACAGGCTCCTCTGAGGCTTTTTCTTAAACTCATCTCCAGCCTAGACCTATAAAGCTTGAAAAGCTCAAAAACATATCTCTGAGATGACCCTTCTCACTCCCCCCACCCCAAGAGTTCCCTCCTGAGACTACTCAAGGATGCCAGAGAACTGACTGTTCCAGCCCACATCTGAGATTAGGGCTCTGGCTCCCAGTCTCTGTGGGAGGGTGGAATCCCAACCACGATCATTGCCAGCTCACACAGTACATGCAGCTGGCCCAATCTTGTTTACACTGACCAACCTTTATAATTTCTTACTTCCCTGACCCTGTGGAACCCCCATTGGTCCCTCTCGGTCCCTCTCCCTCCATTCTCTCTGTAAACGCTCAGTTGCTTTTGTGCAAACAGAAGTTGAATTCTGTTTATACTGGACTTTTCCTTATAGAAAAAATTATTATTGGTTAAAATCTGTCCTTACCATTTCTACTAGTGATAGCTTGTTTATCTTTTTGTTTTTTGAAATGAGGTCTCCTGTAGTGACAAAGTCTTTGATTTTCTAACTTGTTCCCTAGAATTCTCTCCTTGAAGATTTTAAGCTTATGCAAACATTCCTATATCAGCCACATGTTTATCTTCATGGTTGTGCCCCCCTCCCCAACCACAACCTTTATTGCAAGTGGCATTGGTTTTCCAGTGTCTGTGAACAGTGCAGTCTCCTTAGAGATAATAAACATGATAGTACTCATGGTAGAGGAATAAAGTGAGCTTAGCAGTCCTTGAAGAGTGAAATTTGGGGAATACTGATCCAATTCCACCACCTTTTCTAGATGGGGAGACTTTTAGATAAAGAGGAAAAAGTAGAAGGCAAAGAATGGGCCTTGTCCCTTACTTCTGACTCGACTGCCTTTCTGACTGGGACAGAAGAATCAAAGCAAACATGGTAGTAGTTTTCAACCCAGCAGATCCTGGCCTGGGTTCTTTCTCCATGAAGTGCCATGACAAGGAAGACCCACACTTGGGAAGGGGGACATGGGCCCCTTCAGGGAAGCTAAGCATGGGCCACAGACCAAGGAGTTGGAAATACCTTGAACAAGGGGGAGGGGGCGGAAACCATGCTGTAAAAACAGCAGGACAGAGGCAGAGAGCTCAGGTCAGAGGAAGGCTTGATTGGGAGGGAAGTGAGGACAGGCATGCTGAATCCCTGAATGCCTTCAGAGGACTTTCTTCTCCTCTGATGGACCCTGGGGAGCTAATGATGGTCTCACAGCAAGAATTATATTCTGGGAGGAGTAACTGGCAATTGGCTGTCAGGAGTTGGGTGTGTCCCCCTCATGGAGAGATCTGAGCCTGACAAACAGGTTTGAGTGGCTGGCCCAGAGAGAGGATGTAAAGAGAGGAAGAGAGAGCCAAGGAGAAGTCTTGCCAGAGGAAGAGTAGCCATCGGTGAGGCAGAGACCCCAGAGTGGAGAGGAACTGAAGCCACAAAGGTCAGGCTAGCAACAAGAGAGGACTGCCTATGTGGCCCAAAGCCCAGGAATGGCAGGGCTGGTACTTGGCAAGGAAAGATATAAGGCCTTTCCAATGAAAGGATATTAATTTATCAGTCCAGACAGTTGCCATCCAGGCCAATTTTCAGTATCACAAGGGATGTCTGCTTGGAGAGACCCTGCCTCTCACAGGCTGTGTGACTCTCTGAGCCACTCCATTCCCTCCTCTATAAAATGGGGAGGACACCAGTTCAGCCAGGCCTGGTGGCACACACCTGTAATCCCAGACACTAAGGGGCTGAGGCATCCTGCCTGCCTACAGAGTAAGATCAAGGCTAACCTGGACAATATGAGACCCTATCTCAAAAAGGAAAAAGAGGACTGGGGAAATGGCCCAGTAAAGCCGTTGCCATGCAAGCATGAGGACCTGAGTTTGATTCCTAGCCCCCATGTAAAAACTGGGCACAACAATGCATGCCTGCAGTTACAGTGCTAGGGAGGCAGAGACGGGATCCCTGCCGGCTGGCGTCAGTCTAGCCAAATTGGTGAGCTCCAGCTTCAGAAAGAGACCTTGTCTCAAAAAATCAGGTGGAGAATGTTATGCCCAAGGAATGGATCCCCAAGAATTACCACGGAGTCCAGAGAGCATGCAAAAAGAGCCTTTATTCGGGCTTAAAGCTCAGACTCTCAGACCAAACCAACGTGGCAAGTCTGCCTGAGAGCCCCAATTGCAGGGGGTGGAAGCTTTTTATAGGCTTTAGACAAAGAGGGGGGAGGAGAATAACAGAGTCACATCTTGATTGGTCCAAAGAGCCCATGCACGCCAACATGCTTTTGAATTGGTTGGTTACAAGGGATGCAATTCTGGAGGTTTCTCATTGGTGGGGCTACCCTCAGAGCTGTGGAATGTGCTGACTGTTATCTGTGGGGCCAGAAGTCTCTGTTTTTACCTTATAAGGTTGCCATAAGCCTGGGCTTGCTTGATCTTATAGCCTCCTGGGGTGCGGGGTGGCAGGTGGAGATTACAGCATGCCTGGGCATGTTCAGGCTTGCCTGAAACAGCTAGTCAAAAATGGGATGGGATCAAAGCAGTTTGTCCCTTCAGTCAAGCAGTCAAGCAGTTTACAGAAGCGAAAAAGAGCAGTTAGTCCTAAAGAGGGGCAGGGATATTGGGGGTCCAGGGCAGGGGGCCAAGGAGTAGGATTTCACATTTCCCCCTCTCCTTAACTTAGAGCAGACCCAATCATGGGTCTGGGTTGGGGTCACTAATAGGGGTTCTAAGGGCTGATACTGGGACCTCAGGACCATGAGTTGTACTGTGCTCACCCGTTCTTTAATGAAGGCTACCAGCCGATTGATGACACATGGCCCAATAGTTAACATTAATAGGAGGAGGATTATGGGTCCGGCTAAGGCTGAGAGCAAGGTGATGAGCCAGGGAGACCAATTAAACAGTTATTGTACCACCCAGCGTCCTTTTGTTCTCTACCCTTGATACGTTTCCTGAGCAGAGCCATAGAGTCTCTAATCACACCAGAATGGTTAGCATAAAAGCAACATTCTTCTTTTAAGGCTGCACATAAACCCCCTTGCTGCTTAAGGAGGAGGTCAAGACCTCTTCTATTCTGTAAGGCGACCTCAGCTAATGAGTTTAGGGATTGTTCTAATTTAGTTACAGACTGTTCC